GTCCTCATGCGTCTGCTGCAGATCGTTGCTGTTTGGAGTCTTTAGGCGATCAGATTGAAATAATTCTCCTTCTTTGGGTTCGTCCGCGGTGATTTTTGGCATTTCCTCGTTACGCTGGTTTGTGTTATCAGTGAGAACTTTTGTTTGTGCAGCATTTTACTCTGAAAGGCCTGAAAACTCACACCATCACCTTCAGAAACCTTCAGAATAAAATGTCCGACCGCTTTAGGTTCGGTGAATCTGGACGATTTATCGTGTTAAACTTGGAGCAGACCAGCAACGATCGACCGCAGAGCTGAGGATGAGGAGGGCGTCGGTGATCTCAGGGGTTTCTTATCCTCTAATTTCTACTCGTGTCTGTAAATTTGTTTGAATGAATCTTTTTCACCCGTGTGTGCGTGTGTGTCTGACAGGTAAGTGTGTGTGTGTCGTTCCTCGTGGCGGCGTGTTTATGTGTAGGCATTGAGGCGTTCTTTGGAGCGTGTAGAGTGGATGTCGTGCAGCTCCTGCTCCTCCTTCGACTTGATGTCTTCGTACTTCTGCATCCGACTGGCGTCCTTCAGGTAGCCCCAGTTAGCGGCTAGAGCCATCAGGAAGTGCACCTGAGGGGAAACGCAGGAGACGGATCAAAGATTGCCGACTCGTCCGCTGCACGCTGCAGACAGACTGAGCGGCTTATCTGGGATCCGCTGGTTTGGACTGTTGGAGGCCAGATGAGGGGGTCACATCTCGCCTTTAAAGGCAGAAGGAAGACAGGATGTGTTTACCTTGTTTCTAAAAACTGCAGCTGTATGTTTTTAACAGGTTTACTTGAATTTAATAGAGGAAGTGCATATGTAGTCACCTTCCTGGAGCAAACACAGGCACAGCCCACGAGCTGATACCGAACACGGGTCGAGTCTAATGCCGTTAATCCCACACTGTGCACACGAGCCGCTCCCTCTGGCGGCCCCTAGTGTTAAAGCACGGCACAGCAACTCACTGCTGTTTCTGCGCCGTGTGTGTGATACTCTTCATTTTAGCATTTCAGCATTCACATCCAGCACCACGCGGTTTCATCCCCTTCAGTAAGTTGACAAATGAAACGTCCCTCACGCAGATTTGTGTGTGTGGACGAGTGCCGGTGCTTCGGCTTGTACAGATCTGTGCACAAGATTATTCAGAAAGGCTCAGGTTTGTGAATGTGTGCTTGGAGTGAGGATGGAAGGACGCGAGCGTCTCCACGCCTCGGATCCGGAGACGCCGGTGACTCACCGTCTGTCTCACTGCAGACGTGCAGGACTGGGTTTTACACTCTGACTCTCCCTGTCTGCAGGGACGATGTCTGTTTCCTTCGTTTGCACCAATCATTAAAAACCATAATGGCAGAAGAAATTATAACCAATCAGATATGAGAATGATGGTTCTTACCATGGCGATGACAGCAGCTCCTGCTCCTGCTAGTGCGCACACGAACAGATGGAAGGTCAAGTCCAGCTGCAACACAACATACGCATGATGCGGTGGATTTGTGCCGACGGGTTATCACGTGTACGTGTTTTTGCTGCGTTCTCACCTCGTTGGATTCGCACATCTTGACGAACTTCTCGGACTGCGTGCACAACTTCCTCTCCTCGGAGATGCTCACCGCTCCTGAGAAGCACAAACGCTCTGTTAGCCTCTGAACAAACCGGGGAATCTCTGCCTATCGCAGCGCTCGGACAGTCCCTGCGTTTCTTTAATTAAAGCTGACCGAGATCAACGCTTCCCTGCTCCTGGACTGTCGGCCGCTGGGAACGGCCTTGAAGTAATCACAGTCCAGAGCGCAGCGCCTCATGAACCAGGAGTTCATCTTTAATGTTTTTCCTCCTGAGAAATCTTCATTAGTTTGCTGACTGAGGCCTGCTGCAGTCTAAATGTTGAACAGCAGATGGCAGCGCAGTGAGCGAGCGCACACAAGGCCTCTGGTGGTGCCTTTTGTTTTAATGTAGGCATCCTGAGAACAACATGGTGGGCAGTGCTGCATCGTGCACACAGTAATGTGCATGATGATCACTCATTACTGAGTTTATTAGCAGCTAAGTCCTGCTAACATGCTGTTTGGAAAGACAGGTGATGATAATCAGGCAGAAAAATAATCTGCATAAAGAACCCAGACAGCTGGCACCTCTGGGCCTAACCGGGCCAACGTCTGGTACCTTAAATGCCGAATGACATCTGACATTGTACTGATTTAAGGTGGAGCCGTGGCTCCATGAATGCAGGCAGAGACACCCAGAGACAAACATTTCTGTGATCTGTTCTCAGGATGTCTGAAGAGAGCCAGACCGCCGTCACTGCTGTTATTCAGTCACACCCACAGCTGTCTAACCCCTCAAACACATGTTCAGGACTTCATCAAACACCAGAAACACCGACCGACAGGCTGAGCTCGAACGTTTTCTGTCATTAATGAATTTGCAGATATTTCAGATCAATGTTTTTCCTCTCGAGCGTCCGATTCTCGGATGTCATCGCAGCGCCTGGAAGGCTTTGCAGCTTTCTGCTGGTATTTGGCACTTCTTCTGCACACACACAGGTTTTTCCATGATATGTGCCAGTTTGGTGTTTTGGTGAGTCACCATTAACCTGCCAGCTCTAAGCAGCGATCGGGTGATCCAGGATCTTACTTTTAATCACAGAACAAAGAACAGGCTGAGTTAAAAATCTGAACAGCAGCGCATGAAGAAGATTTCCAGTCTGTTAAATCCAACAAAGTGAAGGAAAAGATGTTTCACACATAAATTAGAGGTGCACGGATCAATGGGAGGGGCCGGTCTGAGCTCGGAGCAGCAGCACGGAGAAATTACAGTCATTTGTTTGAAGGCAGCTGAGCTCATCAAGCTGAACTCGTCAGTCTTCCCGTTTACAGCATCTCACATAAACTGCATCAAACTGGGAAAACCAGTCCTCGTTGTTTAACTCAAACTCAGAAAATGCGTTGTGCAAAGCCTGCAGAGGTTAGAAATGTAGCTGTTCATGATTGGATGTTCATTTAACATCAGGGTGCAAAAAGCAAAGGGTGCAAAGTCTGCGTACCAAACTGACGCAGGTCCAGGCAGAGGTTGGTTCCCTCCACCACCACGCTGGTGTTCTGACACATGGACCAAACGTTGAAGTACATGAAGACCGGCAGGCTGGTGAATGCTGTCACGCCGAGCCACACCAGGAAGAACAGGTAGGCCAGGAACATCAGCTGCAAACACAGGCACACGTTAGTCTCGCACTGCTGTGCATCGCGCTCAGCTCACAAGTCTTTATTCAGGTCGGACTAAAAAAGTGCAA